AGGTATTTTCAATGTATTAGAATGAAAACTAATAGAAGCATAAAACTCTTGACTTTTAAAAGTTGTTATTATTTGTATTGGTGTATTATAATTATAATAGTGGAATCCATTATGCCATATTCATGTGTGCACCTATCATAATTTAATCAGTATTATTCCCAATACTTTCTCCTCCCTTTCTCCCTCCCCCACCCACTTACTCTATTCTACCGGTCCCCTCTTTCTTTATTAGTATTTTTAAATAGTCATTGTAGCTGCACATATAAATGAGATTTCATGATTTATTCTCAGAGGGACATAACTAATTTGGTAGATTCCCAGGGACTTCCCCACGCCCTCTTCTCCTCTCTCCCTCTCCATCCCTTTACTCTTCAATTTTCATGAGATCCCTTTTTTATTCCTCCCCCCCCCCTAGCTTCCACATATGAGATGGAACATTTTTACCCTTGACTTTCTGAGTCTGGCTTAGTTGATTTAGCAGTGTTCTCTAGTTCATCCATTAACTGACAAATGACATAATTTCATTCTTCTTTATGGCCAAGTTAAACTCTATTTTATTCATTCATTCATCTGTTGATGAGCCCTTGGGCTGATTCCACAACTTGAACTAAATCAGTGTACTATAGTGATATGTGAGTACCAATGATTATAGCAGTGCGATTCACAAAAACATTTAGCATTTTAATTAGCTTAAAATTAGAAACCACAGGGGCTGGAGCTATAGCTCAGCATTAGAGCGCTTGCCTCATACATGTGAGGCACTGAGTTTGATCCTCAGCACCACATAAAAATAAAATAAAAGATTTTAAAAAGGAAAAAATAAAAAAATAGAAACTACATACTTATTATATGCTCCTTAATAGCACAGCAATAAAAATATTTCCTCCAAGATTGTGAATCACAAAGTGGGGAAAAATGTATATTATCTCTTACCTGTGTGGTAGGTCTCATTACATTTTTCCTGTTTACACTTTAGGATAAGATATACTTGTGCATTTAAGATGTGCATGGGGGCAGTGTCAGTTGCATCTAATTCATGAAGAGAAACTTAAAATAAAGTTTGATTTTTGACTAATATAAAATTTTTGTATTTCTTTTGGGAAGATGTTATGCATGTGTCTGATATTTGTTTATTTTTTATTTATATATGACAGCATAATGCATTACAATTCTTTTTTAAATTTTTTTAATAGAGAGAGAGAATTTTAATATTTATTTTTCAGTTTTTCGGCGGACATAACATCTTTGTTTGTATGTGGTGCTGAGGTTCGAACCCGGTCCGCATGCATGCCAGGCGAGCGCACCACCGCTTGAGCCACATCCCCAGCCCCTACAATTCTTATTACTCATATAGAGCACAATTTTTCATGTCTCCGGTTGATTACAAAATATATTTACACCAATTCGTGTCTTTATACATGTACTTTGGATAATAATGACCATCACATTCCACCATCATTTCTAACCCCATGCCCCCTCCCTTCCCCTGATATTTAAATTTATGAAATTTTCTAAATGTTTTCAGGATGTGGCTTTCAGAGAGAAAGCCTGTGGTTCCCTCACCTGACTTAATGGTCATCTTCTCTGGAGAAGGAATTTATTTTGCCATGTGATCTGGGAGCTGGTAGTCACTGGACTCGTATCTCAGTGGAAACAGCCCTGTGAGGCCCTGGAACTCTGGCTGAGGCTTGAGTCTTCTTTGTAATGTTCCATTCCTTGGTGTGTTCAAGACACACGTGATCAGGCAGTGGAACCACTGCTCGGAGTCCTGCAGGGCAACTTGGTGCCTGAAGACAGAGCAGGTCTGCCTGCAGGACTCAGACTTGTAAGTCATGTTAGGTTAACATCCAAATCCTGGGGCAGGCCTGAGAGCCTGGTAAAGTCAGATTGAATTCAGTGTCCAGGAGTGGTGAGCTGACTAGCAAAGTGGTGAAACTATCACTGTGGTAGCAGAAGTTCAGGAGGGGAGAATTCAAGATAAAAGGGGAGGGCTTCTAGCTCATTGTTTGTCCAAGCAGCAAAAAGAAAACAATAAAAACCTGAGAACTTCTGGGACCATTCATTTTGGCATCTGGGGCAGTGACACAGTATCCAGGTGAAGCCCACTATGTGTCCTTTCAGGAATGGAGAGGCCCCAGGTGCGGCCCTTCAGTCAGCAAATGGCTCTCAGGCTGGGTTTTGAGTTCAGGTCCAGTTAGCCAGTGGGATCCTTCTTGTGATTCTGCTGTGCCCGCGCACCTGTGCATCTGTCTGTGTGTCCTGATGAGGTGATGGATCACTGCAGTCCACAGGGAGATCAGGTGGAATCTGATTGGGTTCTGGAAGATAGTAGGTTCTCAGTATGTATTTGGTGAGGAAGTAAAAATCGGAATGATTCTCTTTCCTATAATAATACCTAGCAGAATCCCAAGATCTAGCTTTCCTTCTCTGAGCTATGGTCTGTCTTCTTACCCAATGATTGTGACTAGAGGGTTTGGGCTTTCAACTTACCAGGGGTAGAGCCAGAAACCAATTTGTAACTTGAACTTTGACCAGGTGCTCACCTGCATCACCTCGACAATAAATCAAAATGCACCAACTCTTTAGCTAATTAGTTTAACACCTATCATTAAAAGTATTTGGTTTTAGGTTCATATAACAGATGGTTGGTTGTCTGTCTGCCTCTCATATTAGATGCTAAACTTTCTGAAAACAGAACTGCATTTCTCTTTGTGGTCATTAAGTGATGCATGACTTAAATATGCTTAAAATGATAGCACTTAATAAGAGTTTACCAAGTACCTGAAGAAATTAGTATAGTCATGTGCTCATGATGATGTTTTGGTTTATCATGAGCATATGTGCTGGTCCCAAAGATTTTATTGGAACTAAAATAATGCTATTGGGCACTCTCTTACTGGACTTTTTCTGTGTGTAGATACACAATTATTGTGTTAAAATTACCTCCATATTCAGTATAGTCTCATGCTGTATAGGTGTGCATCCTGGGAGCAATGGGCTGTATCATATGCTTATGTGTGCAGCAGTCTAGGCAATGTAGGTTTGTGTAAATGCACTCTATGATGTTCACAGCATGTTGAAATCACCTAGCATCTCTCAGAACATGTCCCTGTCATTAAGTGATGCATGACTTAAATATGCTTGTTTGAAATTATATGGAAGATGGAGACTCTCCATGTGTGTTTCATAGACATTTGTGTGTTGCCTACTGAGAATGAAACTTCATGAGTACCCTCAGCTCTCCAGCTGCTGACCCATTTCCCATGGAAATTTCAATGGACTGATTTCAAGAGTTGTATTTACTTCTGGTAGTGAAATGCATGACATGATTTCTAGCCTAAGAGACCTCTTGCAGTAGAGCTGAAAAAGGACAGTGTCTGTGAAACCACCTCAGACCAAAAGGCAGGAAAGAGGAAGCTTTGGGGCAGGGGTTATTAGCTGTATCCAGGGGGACTGAGAGTATGATCTGAGCCAGGTCAAATGCTCTGCATACTCTGACCAGGTCTCCTGGGAGCACTGTGTCACCAGAGTTCTCCAGAAGCCTGCTTTGCAGTGTCTAGTTGGCACTGGACAAAGCAGCATCTGATCCAAGAAGGGAAAAGCCTGAGAAGAACCGGGCTGGGGCTGGGGACTGGAAAGGAAAATGCACCTCAGGGCAGGGGATGTGCAGTTGGACAGAGGGCCGGTATGGTTCAATGTGGTGATGGTGTCCAGTACTGTCCTTGATACCCAGGAGGCGAAGTTCACTTGAGTCATGACCACCTCTGGGCATGGGAGCTGTGGCTTGGTTTCTTGGAGCCTGTCACAGCATGAAGAAGCTCCCATGGTGCTGCAGACGAGACCCTGCTGGTCTGAGATGGGGGATTCTGACTTTCTTCTTGGATGGTCATTTTTGTCCATACAAACATCGCTGGCATGATAACACACCCATGCTATTGCTTTGAGAATATCTCTGTTTTCCAATGTCTCTAATTTTATTTTTCAGAATTGCATAGAAGAGACACAGTGGAGTTTGTAGAAATGATGATTCCATTAGTCTTCTTTGGAAATGTGCTAACATAAGCAAACTTATTAAGAGGTAGTAGAGTGATGTCGTTACAAGAAGAATTCCTGGGTTGGAATTATGGTTCCATAGTTCATGCCAACTGTGTTATCTCAGGTAACATGCTTCCCTTCTCTGTGTCTGTTTCCTCATCTCTAAAAATAAAGAAGTGCCAAGAAGTTTAAATTAATATATGTAATCCCTCAGATTTTAACTGTTTGGATCAACTTGCTATTAACAGCATAAATCTTCTTCCAACTTCACATACTTTATGTGAGCTGAAAAGGATTCTCCAGCCATTGTCCAGGTGTCTGTGTGATGATAATAGACCCTGGACACGTGGGCTGCTTGTTATCTGACTGGTATTTCTAAAGTCTTGGAAAAAATATATGGTGTCTGGCCACCACAGCTCACAATAGAAACAAAAATTTTAAATGCGTAAGGAAACAAACTACTTCACAGGAGGAAATAACAGAATACAGGATGGGATCAAAATGGATGGAGATATTGAAAATGGGTTTAGAATGCCAAAATGTGTTATACGTCTAAAGAAACAGAAGATAGGAATAATGAAATAAAGAATTTCTTTTACATAAAGTTTCCTTCATATAAAGAAACATTCTTTATATGAAAATGATCAAGCAGAATTGAAAAGAATGTTATCTAGACATGAAAAGTGAATTATTGAAATCAAGAATTCAGTGAATTCTCAAACAGAAGAGTAGACACAGGTGGAGAAAGACTCAGCCGCTTCAAGACAAATCTGAAATAAATAGCCAGCATACACCCCAGAGAGAGAAAGAGAAGGAAAATATAAGACACGGGTTAAAGGGGCAGGGTGGAGAACAACGAGATCCACACATCTGATCTGGGTTCTGGAGGAGGAAAGACATAATGGACGATTTATAAGGATTCTCATCATTCAAGCAGGTCACCAATCTTGAGAGTCCAGAAGAGTTTGAAATGCCTAGGAATAAAAAGAAACCAGTTCAGACCACCAACACCACCATAGGGGAAAGGTCCAACACCAGAAGTACAGAGAAGCTGTAGAAAGCAGCCCAAGGTAGAGTTAGCAAACAGTGAAACACTCAGCCCCATGAGCTCTCAGAGTTCTGAGAGGGAATAAACACCAAGGGTGATAGATTTAGCTTCCAAGAGTAGTGGGAAGGTAGTCATTCACAGAAAAGTAAAATCTTTAAGACTTAAGAGGATGCCAGACCACCAACCCTTCTAATGGATGGAGGGGGAGGGGCAGAAAGGAAGCCATTATAGGGGCAGGTGTGAGTAGTTAGAATCCCGCAGTTGTTACACAAATGATGCTCCTGAAACTAATTGCAGAGTTGAAATAATAGCAAAGGTGTATAAACAACATGTCTGTGTAGTTGGTGGTATTAAAGCAAAGAAGGCAAGACTAAGTGAATAACTGGGAATAAAGGTGGAAAGGAAGTCAGAATTAAAGCATTCCTGGTTTCTACATTATTTGGTGAAGAGAGTTGAAATTTGTTTAATTTTATGCTTTGGTTAGTTGTTAGGCAGAATCAGCATAATATATCAAGGAGGATGGCCAAAGGAGTGGTAAAAGATGGAGAGATTCCAACTAATAAAAGAAAAAATAGAGTGGGAGATTAAAGTCAACTCAAAGAAGAAGGAAAATAATTGGTTAAAATGGATACATAGGAAACAATTAAAATGAAAGGATAAATATAGAGGAGATTTTAATAAACTATTTCCCAGTTTGATTTTTGTGGCTAATATATAACAATTGAAAAATATTATGCAGCCTCAATTATTTATGGAATATTTACATCCTTCTTTGTCCATAAAGTCAGTTCCATAAATTTGCAAAGAACAGAAAAACTTTCTAATACTAGTAAAAGATAATGTGTTCTAATTATAGAAGCTTTTGTTATACTGAGATAGATAAATGAAAAGGAAAAAAAAAAAAAAACCACCCAACAAACAAAAAACACACCTAGAAACGTCAAGGTCACATTTTAAACCACCAAAGATAGTGATATGAACCTATTTGCTGTGGAAGGAATAAAAGCTACTTTGACATCAGCAGGGCAGTGATACCAGAAGCAAAAAGAAATGCAGAAACAGTAAGTAATAAGGGGAGATAACTTTGTAATTTATAGTCAAACTATTTATAATCAGCCAGACTATTTATAGTCAGTCAAATTATTGTTAAGACCCCATGGGGGCTGGGGCTGGGGCTCAGTGGTAGAGAGCTTGCCTAGCCCTAGCAAGCATGAGGCACTGGGTTTGATCCAGCCTCAGCAAAAGAGAGGACTAAGCAACTCAGTGAGATCCTGTCTCTAAATAAAATACAAAATAGGGCTGGGAATGTGCTCAGTGGTTGAGTGCCCCTGAGTTCAATCCCCAGTAACTACCCTCCCCAAAAAATACACAGGTGATCAATTATCAAAACTCACCTCTTACTAACTCACCTCTTTTGTGCTATCTTGCAGTTACTCCTGCTCTTCAGGCTGTTGACATGTCTTCTGTGTACGTGGTGGAAGTGCTCTGTGGTGGGTGACTGCATGCCTTCCCAGCCCCCGTTCAGGACATCACAGGGAGGACTTTGACTTGGCCATGTTTGGAACAGTTACACTAGGGCAATAGCAAAGGCTGGGAACCAGGGCCTTTATTTTCTTTATCAGCCTGTTGTTAGACAAGGGCTAATGTGCTTATGACCAAGATGGTGCAAGTTCTAGCCTGGCAACCAAAAAAGAAAGGAGAGATGTCAGGAAGAAGAGAGAGGAGAGCTTCTCCCAGAGTGCTCAGCTGCACGAGTGGCTTTTCTCTGTAGACAATGTGATGCTTTGCTGGCCTCTGCCTTGCCTGGGGTCCTTCGGTGGCTCCTCGGAGCTCCCAGCAGCCATGGCCTTGGGTTTGCAAGTCTAGATCAGAGAGATGGTGAGTCAGCTGCTGTCTCTACTCCTTCCTCAGGGAGAACTTTCGTCTTTGTCTTTAGTTATTTTCCATTCCTTTAGCTCAAAAAATAATTATTTGCATTTTAATGAATTTGAAGAAATTGGATTTTGCATGTTATCTTCTGTTTGTTTTATTATAAATTTATTTTTATTTTTTTCTGGATAGATTTCTCCCTTATTGGGTGCCATTAAATGCTCATAAAGGAAATTAAGTCAGAAGGGAATTGTTAGGGGCTATACATTTTTTTTCCATTTATTTCATCTCTTTTTAGTTCTAGAATAGGCTATGGAAAGGTTACTGGTCAAGTAAGCTGATCATGAAAATTTCAAATATATAAACAAGTAAATGAGCCAACGTCTGAGTCACTGGGGGAAGTCAGCAGGCCACCACACAATGCCTCTGTGATGGGAAGAGTCCTGCTGATGGGCAATGCCCACCGACCCAGGACATCATGTGGGAGAAGACCACGGGTAGGCTGTGCAGATAGTAGAGATTTCCTTCCTATGCAGTGTGAAGGAAGCTGTATCCCATCACAACACTTCAGCGTCATTGAGTAAATTACCTTTTCTGTTGCAGGAATAATAGTTCAAATGATTAAATCAGTGAATACAATTAAAAATAAAGTGCTCTACAACCTTCTAAAGAGTCAGACTGATTTTTCTGTGAAAGATGAGTTAATTCATTTAGGAAGTACAGCTGAACATGAACTCTGCCCCCTCTAAGTGTATCCTTGTAAATGTTGGTGATGTAGTCATGGAGTTGAAGATTTGCTCCCTTCATGTAATATTCCAAAGATCTGGGTTTAAGTACAGCTTGAGTTTCTTTATCCCTTAAAAATCAAGCATGGTACTTAGTTATCAGATACAGATAGGAAAGAGTTGACACAAGAGGAAAACCCAGAGGGTGAGGGTTGGGGGGCATACTCATAATTGTCCACTCTCATTTTTTTTTTTTAATGTGAAGAAACATTTTGTGGCCTGAGAGTTAGGCTTAAAATATCACTCAAATATTTATACCATGACAGTAAAAATATTCTCATTGAAACCAGATTTCACATTTACATTATCAAATGACCATTTTTGGTCTGGTGATGACTCTAATATCAGATTAACATCTAAACATTTCAGTGGTTGCAAAGATTATAATAACCAAGTAAACACTCAATTTAATTATTTTAAAGAAGCCCAGTGGACTTGCGTGTTGTGTTTCAGATCTGCAGAGATAGAAATGTGTTATTGTTATGATTCAGTCTTCCCTGCAGTGGGAAGATTATAAACATACAGAGGAAAATACTCCTAGTTTAGGATCCACTTATTTCCATTATATTTAATTAACAGCTTAGAATAAGATAAGCAGTCATTATGAAATGGTTGTACAAAATTTATCTTGTATATTCAGACCATTCTTATTGCATATTTAAATTAACTTTTTGTAAGAGAGTAACAATTGGCTGATGAGGTTTAGTGTTTATGATTGCCACTCTGATTGCATGTAATATGTGTTTCAATAAACATTCCTTGGTTTTGCTACCAGACTTCATGTTCATTCCTGAAGTGTGATTTACAAAGTTCAATGTATCAACATTTCTTCTGAAGGATTATCTATGCATTTTTGTTTTATGTGTATAATTTTATGTTTTTCACTCATGCATTCTATTTGATGTATTTATGTTGTTTATTTATTTATTTATGTATTTATGTTGTTTTCTATTGATTTATGAAAAGTAATAAAATATTTCCTAGAAATGCTTTTGTGAAAAATAAAGGAAAGGGGGTATTATGAAAGATACTATGAGGGCTGAGTAGAGAATTTGGGCAGGTTCAGGTGTTTCCAGGGACCAAAGGCAGAGAGGCAGCTCCCAAGGGGCTGAGCATCATGGCCAGTGATCTTGTGGCTACACCTGGCTCAGTGATTTTTATGAGTTCCCTAATACAAGAGAAAATTATTATAGAGATAGTAATGAGTTAGTATTATCATTCAACATAGAATTAAATGCTCTTAGAGTTTATTTACTATTTTATTTGTTCTTTTCAGTTATATATGACAGTAGAATGTATTTTGACATATTATACATACATGGAGTACAACTTCCTATTCTGTTGGTTATACATGATGTGGGATTACATTGGTTGTGTATTCATATATGAGCATAGGAAAGTAATGTCTGGGTGATTCTACTGTCTTTCCTAGTCCCATTCCCCCTCCTTCCCTTCCTTCCCATTTGTCTAATCCAAAGTGCTTCTTTTCTCCCCTAACCACCGGCATTGTGAGTTAGTATCTGCACATTAGAGAGAGAGAATTCGGCCTTTGTTTTTTGGGGATTGGCTTATTTCACTTAGCATGATAGTCTCCAGTTCCATCCATTTACCAGCAAGTGCCATAATTTCATATCTCTTTATAGCTGGAAATATTCCATTGGGTATATTTTAGAATTCATTTTTAAAATCTTTGCTTGTGGTGGTTTTTCTGGAATTCACATTTAAAGCCTGAGGTTGGGTTAAAGGTTTACATTTAACAGAATAACCCTGAAATGATAGCTTTCTATACCAAGAAACATAAACTGTAGAAAAGTTGACACCTTGAAATGCTTGCATTAAAAATTTTTAAATTGATACATTTTAAGAAATAAAACTTATACCTAATGAAGAAAATTGATGTTATTAGATATGGATATAAATTCCTAAAAAATTAGATTTGACTGTTACTTTGATGCCATCAAAATTAAAATTTATTTTCTAAAATTAAAAGAGTTAATGTCTCATATAAAAGCAGATTTCTGAAATCTGCATTCTAAGTAAGAACATGCTATAATATTAATTTTCACTTTTTTTCTTCTTAAAAACTTCCTTAAGAAACTTTGTACTCCAAATTTATCCTGACAAAAGTTAAAAAATAAAAAATAAACACCCAGAAAACCGTCTCCAAAAGTAGCCACATGAGCCTTTCATTCCACATTATTCTTGTGTAGGGAGTTTAGCGACCCTGGATCAAGCCGGCTCATAGCATTCCAGATGCTGCTGCCTTCCAACCTCAGGGCCACATTCTCATCCTGTCAATCATGGGGGCTGTCGTCGTGGAGACCAGAGCCAGGATCTTGGCAGAGGTGGTTGAAATTGACTAGGAAGAAGCATATGAGATTTTTTTTTCCTTTCTGCTCCCCCAAATGCTTGCATAAATGCTTCTTTCCAGAAAGGACTGCTCTGTTCATGACTCGGATGCTGAAATCCTGGGTTCTAAAGCTGAAAGCGGCCACCTGCATGGGAGACCCCATTGGGGACGGGAAATTGTCAACAGTTTTGATGACAACTCTATCAAAAGTGGCAGTAAGAATGCAGTATCATTTATTCTACAATAAAAGCAGATGGAGACAAAAGGAACTGATTGGCTTGTTCATTTCTGCCTTATGATTCTCAGTCTCACCAATGCTGAGCCAGGGAGCACATTTCCATAGAACATGGACTGCACTCATCTGTTGGTGCAGCCAGGAACATTTTTTGCCTAATACTTCTAATACTATTCATTGCTGAGCATTTTAGAAACTCATTGTTAACATTAAGAAACTTATTTCTCACTCCCATACATTTAGTAATATACATTTATATTATGGGCATGAGGCAGATAACTAAGAAAATAAAAATGATTAGATCGGGGAAAATGTTTAGATTTGCCCTTAAGATGCTAAATGGCTTCTTCCAACATGGGATTTCACTATTCAAATTCTGCAATTTCCCAAATAGCACATGATATAAAATTCGTTGGTTATGGCGACTGGAGGGTGTCAGCACAGGTGGAGACCCTGATCAGTCAGCGGGTTCTGGGAGAAGGACGCAGGCTGGGCCTGTGGGGACGGACCCTGAGTGGAGATGGAGGACCTGCCTTGGCCTTCCTGGGACATCCTGAGATGGACTCCACCGTAGATCTACACGCTCCTCCAGAGGGTCGGCAGGTGCCCCTAACAGGACAGCTACACAACCTTATCTTGACTTTTCATCTCATAAGATAATCATCAAGCAGAGACCAGACTCAGTCTTGGTCGAAAACACGTGTTTTTGACCAAGGAGTGGTTGAGCCCATCTCTATTTTAAAAGTGTCTCAGGGCTACCTAGAACTAGTGGTTGACTTTCTGTCCCATAAACTTTCCCAGAAAGGATACAGCTGGTGTCAGTTAAGCCATGTGGAAGGGAACAGCATTGAAGCCCCAGAAGGGACTGAATCAGAGGTGGAACCCACCAGTGCCATCAATGACAACCCATCCTGGCGTCTGCTGGGCAGCCCCATGGTGAGTAGAGCCACTGGCCATCACAGGAGTTTGGATGCCCCGGAGGTGACTGAAGCAAGCACTGAGGGAGGCAGGCGACAAGTCTGAACTGCAGCAGGTACCTGCAGGCATTCAGTGACATGACGTCCAAGCTCCACGTCACCCCAGAGACAGCACATCAGACCTTTGAACAGGTAGTGAAGGAACTCTTCCAGGATGTGGTCAACTGGGGCTGCATTGTGGCCTTTTGCTCCTTTGGAGGAACCCTGTGTGTGGAAGGCATAGACAAGGAGAAGCAGGTATTGGTGAGTCAGATCGCAAGTTGGGTGGCCACTTACCTGAATGATCACCTAGAGAACAGGATCCAGGACAGAGGCAGCTGGGACACTTTTGTGGAACTCCGTGGGAATAATGTGGCAGTGAGTAGCTGGAAGGACCAGGAAGGCTCCAACCATTGTTTCCTGATGGACATGACTATGGCTGGTGTGGTTCTGCTGGGCTGGCTGTTCAGTCAGAAATGAGCAGACTCTGACCACCCACTCACCCTCCCTCCCACCCCGCCCCACCACATCCCTCTGTCCATTGCCACCAGGAGAACCATTCATGACCTGCAGCCACGCCCACCATCCATCACTGGCTTGGGCCTAGACCTGGTTCCCTGCAGTTAGTTTTCTAGAACTACTGTGCTTCTGTGACAGCCACCTTCCCACACACCTCAGTTCTCTTGCCATCAGAGTCTTCAAAATCTCCCCCAAATCTGTCTCTTGAAGGCTGGCAGGGTGTAGGGGTGGCTGGGGGCAGGAGGGCCCTACCCCATTGGCAGATCCTTACTGCCCCTTAGTCTCTAAGACTGCTTTCCTGGTAAGGAGCTAGAAAGGTTTTTGAACCTCTTCCCCAGAAAAAGACTAGATGGCCTTTGTTGGGATGTTTGTAGCCTCAGAGTTGATCATCATTTCCCATCCCTCTCTGGACCTGGGCCCCTATCCCTTCTATCTCTACCCCCAAGAACCATTTAAAGGACATTTTTGACTAATTAGGAATTCAGATCTGCTTGTGGTAAAGAAGCAAGGATCAGGACTTCCTCCCCAACACTGGCCTGGACAAAGTCCTCACTCCTAGGGTGAATGTTTTCCAGAGGCCTCTGGCTAGAGGCTAGTCCCACCTTGGGGGGAGGGGACATGGCTGCAGGAAGTACCCCATGCAAAAGCTAGCATGGCCCTTGCAGATTAGCACCACCCTAGTCCCTTCCCCTCCTTTCTCCCGGCTCCCAGGACCATGACAGAGTGACCACCTGGGCCCAAGACAGCTGCCCCAGAGCTATTTATGGCCCTCAGCTGCCTCACTTCCTGCAAGGTCATCCTGTGGCTTCATTGTGTTGGGCTGTTGCCCATCCGGTGCAGGGATTCAGGGATCTCAGCCCAGAGTTAAAAGGGGAGATATAGGGATTAGCAGTAGGAGCCCTGGGGTCTTCCCTACCTCAGGAAGGAGACCTCGGTGCACAGGCCAGTGGGTGGTGGCTGACTGGAGGGGGGCCTGTCTCTCCTGATCAGGTAGATATTTCCCCACTGTCCAGCCTGGGCACCAGGGCTGCCAAGGTCAAAATGGCCTGGCCAAGACCCCTTCAGGCCTCCCTCTGCTCCAGCCTCGACTGTCTCATCCCTGGGGGTCTCAGCACAGCCCTGGCCGCTCCAGGCTCTCTGCTGTCCATGTTCCAGAGCAGCTGTCATTCCTTGTGAAGATGATGTCCTGTCTTTTTAGGCATGTGTGTACTCATGTGTGAGGAGCTGCTGACTCGCTGTGAGCGTGCAGGTGGAGGGCTGGCGGCCTAAGGCTCCTTCCCCTGTCCCAGGGCTCTTGGCTTCTGAGGGCTCCTGTTCCCCCTCCCTCACCGACTTGTTGCAGCTCTTTAAAACAGACTATGTGAAAGTGAAAGTGCAGTTCAGGAGTAAACTGTGTTGGCTCAGGGGGAAGAAAACGTTGATATTAGGAGCTGAGGTGTGGCTCATTGGTAGTTTACTACCCAACATGCATGCAGCCCTGGGTCCAATCCCAAACACAAACATTGTAAACTGGTAATAAACTATCATGACTGTGGCTCTGCCACAACTCAGAAAGTCTAACTCTAGACTGGAGAATCCTCCAGAGCCTTGCTGTAGGGGACACGGGTGTCTCAGCAACTAGGATGGCCACCCAGACCAATTTACAATCTCTGGGATACCACCTGGACATCAGTGGTAGTTTTACAAATTCCCCAGGTGATTCCAATGTGCAGTCATATTTGAGTTGACACCCTGCGTGAATTTCTCTTGCGTTCTCATGCTTTACTTCATAGAAGGAAACATGTACAGAAATAACTGTATGTGTCCCATCCACAGTATATTTAACTGCATTACACATATGTGTATGAAGTGAAGAAAGAACAGAGATATTTGCTTATGTAAACACTGGTTTATATTTTTCTCCTCTATAATTAGTATAGTCTACTCTTGGAAATGACATATCTTGGGCTGGGGTTGTAGCTCAGGGTTAAAGTGCTTGCCTAGCATGTGTGAGGCACTGGGTTAGATCCTCAGCACCACATAAAGATAAATGAATAAATAAAGGTATTGTATCCATCTACAACTAAAAAAAAGTTTTAAAAAAAGAAATTAGGCGTTTTGACAGATATAAAAATTTGTCACCAAGTTTCCTGTTTCTCCTCATTTTAGAATGCTGCTTCTAAATTACCTGGGGAAAATTGGGCCCAAAACTCCTTTGATGGCAGCTGCCACTTTTTCAGTTGGTTGGAATACTTTTGCTTGCTCAGAGTCATTGGAGAAACCACTGAACTGGCTGCTTTTTAATTACTATCTGACAACCTGCCTCCAGTCTTCAGTTAATAAGTAAGTCATCTTTAAAATTTTTTGTCTTGGGGCTGGGATTGTGGCTCAGCGGTAGAGTGCTTGCCTAGCACTGGCAGGACCCGTGTTCGATCCTCAGCACCACATAAAAATAAAGGCATTGTGTTGAGTCCATCTACACCTAAGAAATAAATATTTAAAAAAATTTTGTCTCCAAACTTTTATTTTATTTTATTTTTTTTTCCTTTTTTTTATTGGTTGTTCAAAACATTACAAAGCTCTTGACATATCATATTTCATGCATTAGATTCAAGTGGGTTATGAACTCCCATTTTTACCCCAAATACAGATTGCAGAATCACATCGGTTACACATCCACATTTTTACATAATGCCATATTAGTAACTGTTGTATTCTGCTGCCTTTCCTATCCTCTACTATCCCCCCTCCCCTCCCCTCCCATCTTCTCTCTCTCTACCCCATCTACTGTAATTCATTTCTCTCCTTGTTTTTTTTCCCATTCCCCTCACAACCTCTTATATGTAATTTTGTATAACAATGAGGGTCTCCTTCCATTTCCATGCAATTTCCCTTTTCTCTCCCTTTCCCTGTCTCCAAACTTTTAGATTACATAACCCAACAGTAAAAACATTTAAGGCATAACACTGTCAATATATGTATATTTGTTTATATATGACTTTACTTTGTACCAAAATATGTTCTATGTTGTGAATGTATGCAAAAATAAAAAACTATAAGCATAAGCTAAACTTATAGATAAAAATCATAATGTTGGGGCTGGGGTTGTGGCTCAGTGGTAGAGCGCTTACCTTGCATGTGTGAGGCCCTGGATTCAATTCTCAGCACTGCATATAAATAAATAAATAAAATAAAATAAAATAAAGGTCTGCCAACAACTAAAAAAATATTTTTAAAAAAGTCATAATGTGGGCTGGGGATGTGGCTCAAGCAGTAACGCGCTCGCCTGGCATGGGAGAGGCGCTGGGTTGGATCCTCAACACCACATAAAAAAAATAAAATAAAGATGTTGTGTCTGCCGAAAAAACTGAAAAATAAATATTAAAAAATTCTCTCTCTCTCTTAAAAAAAAAAAAGTCATAATGTTTCTTTGAGGATCACTGCTCTAAATCACTGTGAAATTATTTCTAACAAACGTCTGGGTGTGGTAGAACACACTTGTAATTCCGGCAACTCTGGAGGCTGAGGCAGGAGGGAGGATTGCAAGTTCAAGGCAGCCTCAGCAAGTTAGCAAGACACGGTCTCAAAAAACAAAACAAAACAAAAGTATTGTGGATGCAGCTCAGTGGTAAAGTGCTCCTGGCTTCAATGTCCACTACCAAAAAAAAATTATTCTAAAGAACTAAAACATTTTGGAATATGTTAAAGCAAAATTATGATTATGGGCTATTCCCCTAGAATTTCTGTTTTTTGCTAATTTTGTCAGTACTTAATTCTTTCCCAGGTAGTAAGCACTTGGTACTTTCAGTGTTGAATAATACAACTCCTTAAGCATGTGCTTACAAGCATAGTATGTTTTAGAAATAAGAGAACGCAATTCTTGTGCATACTCTTAGCTTGCAGTTATTACACTAACAAAATACTGTCTTTGCTGCATTAATTTTTCTGGAATTCTTTGTGTATCTTCTAACAGTTAAATTGGCATGATAGGGGCTGGGGTTGTGGCTCAGTGGTAGAGTGCTCGCCTAGCATGCAGGAGGCACTGGGTTCGATTCTCAGCTCCACATAAAAATAAAGACAATAAAGTCCATCAACAACTAAAAAAATATTAAAAAAAAAAATTGGCATGATAAAGAACATACAGGTGCCAGGTGTGCTGATGCACACCTGTGAACATAGTGGCTGGGGAGGCTGAGGAAGGAGGATTGAGAGTTCAAAGCCAGCCTCAGCAACTTAGCAAGGCCCTAAGCAACTCAGCAAGACCCTGTCTCAAATTAAATACAAAAAAGGGCTGGGGATGTGGCTCAGTAGTTAAGTGCCCCTGATTTCAATCCAGATATAAAAAAAAAAGAAGAAGAAGAACCGGCAGCTGTTTCTGTTTATTCCTTTATGGTAGGTTGTTTTTTTTGGGGGGGATTGAATACAAGGGGTGCTCTACCACTGAGCTATGCCTCCAACCCCTGTACCCCCACTTTTTGAGACAAGGTCTTGCTAAATTGCTGAAGCTGGCCTTGAACTTGTAATTTTCCTGCCTCAGCCTCCCAAGTAGCTGGGATTATGGATGTTTGAGTCCATGCTCAGCTTGCATACTAATTTTTAAAAAATATTGGTCACTTTTCTTGTGCAACCAATCTACAAGACCCTGCATTCAATTTCTAGAACCCCCAACCCTGCAAAAAAAATTACCTTCAGAACAAACATCAATATATTACTTTTACTGTATCTAATTAAACAAATGTTTTTTGAGTGCCAACTTTGTGCCCTGTTCTAGGCTATCTAGTTATTTGTTATTATGTATTTTAGATGTGATTGAGGTAGAAATGATCTTAATTATAGTTCTGAAATTCTTTTGTTCCAGGCACCGCCATATGTTTGTAAAACAAATTGATATGGATCATGTTATGAAGGTAGGAGATAAACTTTATGTAGTACTTTATTTACTCTTTTAACTACAAGAGAATATAAAATTTGTTTTTGTTTCTCAGGCTAAATCTATCAGAGAATTTGATAAGCGATTCACTTCTGTCATGTTTGGATACCGAACAATCGATGATTATTATACTGATGCCAGCCCAAATCGTAGATTGAATTCAGTAGGAATTCCAGTATTGTGCCTGAATTCTGTGGATGATGTTTTCTCACCAAGTCATGGTAAAATTAGCATTTTTGTATCTATTTTTTCATGAATTAACTTTTTAAATATTGTTCTGTTTTAAAAAAAAATGTAATAACCCCGGGCACAGTTGCATATACCTGTAATCCCAGTGACTAGGGAAGTTGAGGCAGGAGGATCAAAAGTTTGAGGCCAGCCTCAGCAACTTAGCGAGAACCTGTCTCAAAATAAAAAATAAAAGGTCTGGGGATGTGGCTCAGTAGTAGAGCACTTCTCTGTTCCATCCCTAGTGCCAGAGAAAAAATTAATAAATAAAATATCACTCATAATTATGTTTTCCACTGTGATTTAAAAAAATAACTAAATACTCACAATTTAGTATCTAAATGTCTCAAATCATGTCTTAAATGTTTTCAGAGTCTGTTACCTAGTCCAGGGATTTCAGAGCATCTCAGAACAAATTAGGACTCAGTATTTTCTTGTTCTCATTTTTATAACCTTTCCTTCTTATCAAATACACTGTTCTTTGGAAAGGTTATGTTACAATATCTTTGCCTCAGGAGAACATTGTCATGACTTGCCTTTTGTTCCTGATGTCCCTGTATAAAAGTATTTGAAGGTTTTTTCCCCTTTTAACCTGGAAGAGAACTTGACACTTAAGAAACATAGTGACCTTGAATATCTCAATGATGAGAGCAAATTTGGGCTAAAAGGTCATATTTGAAGTGAAAACAGTTTTAATTTCTCCCCTAGATACAGCAGAAAAGAAAATTATTCCAGACTCAACTTTCCTGCTATCTTAATTCAGGATATACGAAATTTGACAACGTGAATACCTGTGCATGTGTTTGCCTATTGAAGCAGTATGATTAGAAGTAATCATTATTAGGGCTGGGGTTGTAGCTCAGTAACAGAGTGCTTGCCTAGCATGTGTGAAGTACTGGGTTCTATCCTCAGCACCACATAAAAGTTATTAAATAAAATAAAGGTATTGTGTCCATCTGCAACTAAAAATTAAAAAAAATAAAAAGGAGTAATTATATTAGCTCAAGGATCAATACGCTTGACTTCTGATTTTATCCTAATGAAATTTGACAAAGTATTTTGTGAAGTCTCCTTTCCTTACTTCCCCCCTAATTACTTTAAAAAACACTTTCCCCAAGTACTCCATTAAAAGCAGTTACTATAGACTAGGGATGCAGCTCAGTAGTAAAGCCCTGGGCAAGCATGCATGAGGTCCTAGGTTCAATCCTCAGCACCACACACACACACACACAAAAAAAAAAAAAAAGGAAAGAAAATAAGAAAAATACACATTTATTCTGACTCTAAGCATTATGTATTGTAAAAAATTCAGAAAATCCCAAATATATATGTATATTTTTATAAACTACCCATTATTATTTCTTTTTTTTAATGGACCTTTATTTTATTTATTTATTTATTTATTTATTTATTTATACATGGTGCTGCTGAGCATCAAACCCAGTGCCTCACACATGCTAGGCAAGCACTCTACCACTGTGCTACAACCCCAGTCCCCCATTATTTCTTTACAAGATCCCATTTAAGCAAAGGTAGTTTTAGATAGCTGAAATGTTTGGCCTTTGACCACAAATCAGAAACGAAAACTCTCAACTTTAATATTACTTGACTTACATAGTAATTGTTTAGCCTGCTTTTGTTAGATTAAGTAAGTCTAGTGTTTCTTCATCCATTTGCATACTTCATTGGCCCTACAGCCACAAAAATTTCCCAACATTTAACTTGACCCACAGGGTGAAGTTTAAACTCATTTCCAATTCTTTCCCAAGCTCTTAAAATAGTCTTGCCACGTTGAAATAGTAGACAATTGTCTGCAGTCTGAGAGAACAGGCAGCCAGCATCTTTCACATGATTCAGATGTGGCACAGCCTTTTGTTTTTCTGATATGACTGTAACAGTCAGTGTTAGAAATTTCTGAGTATGGCTGTGGGTGTAGCTCAATGGTAGAATACATGCTTTAGCATTCACAGGCCCTGAGTTCAGTCCACAGGACAAAAAAAAAAAAAAAAAAAAATTTCCCACTGTGTGAACTCTGAGCATGGGAGAAAAATAAGTAAACTGTAATTACTTTAAAAAACACTTTCCCCAAGTGTTCAGTTGATATTATATAACACATGTAAAATCTGTCATTGGTGGTGAATTATATTTAATATACCAACTATTTTTTGTATATTTTTTATTTGTTCTAATTTTTTAATATATATTCAACTATATTTTCAAAATACACTTTTTATTTTTCTTGACTATAAATACAAATTCAGAGAAAGAGGAAAAATTAAAAATAATCTCTGATGTATCAGATAGTTCAGTACCCAAAGATAAATACTGTTACCATTTGATAAAATTTTTCTCTCTCTTTTTTTTTTGCGGGGGGGACTATCTGTGTTTTTATTACATACATTATATTTACAATTTTGAATATTTCCTTACAACCACCAGTGGCCTCTGGAATCTAACTTCATATAAAGTTATCTAAAGTCATACATATGAATTCATAGCTCTCACAAAAATACTAAGATTATTTTCAATTTCTCAAAACAAGATTCAGCCTATACTTTTGTGTTATGATGAAATCTTAGGTTGATTTTTTTTTCCCAAAAATGGTGGTTCAGTACATGACTGTAAACATGAACTATTATAAGAATGTAGATGCTTGATATAATTAGACTCATTCCATTTAGCCATACTCATTGCAAATATTTTTTTAGATGGCATTTTGCTTTATATTGATGAGAAGTTATAAAGGTATATACTTTTCCTAACAAAAAACAGTAATGATTCTTTCTCTCTCTCTCCTCTCTCCCTCTCTCTCATACTGCCACCCGTGTTCTTTCTTCAAGCTATTCCAATAGAAACTGCTAAGCAAAATCCTAATGTTGCTTTGGTCCTTACTTCTTATGGAGGCCATATTGGTTTTCTGGAGGGAATCTGGCCAAGGCAATGCACTTACATGGATCGAGTCTTCAAGCAGTTTGTGCAGGCCATGGTTGAGCATGGACATGAACTCTCTAACATGTAGCTCTTTGTGTGCGTTATGTCTGAAAACCATTGTAAAGGCAACTCAGCTTTGTGCACAAATTTTAACTACTGTATATAAAGCAAATAAGCCAGCAGATGGGCGAAGAGGTCCAGAATGACATGCAAAAACTACTTTTTAGGAAAACAAAACAACTTTGTAGCAAGAAATTAAATATAGTTTAGATTATTACTTATGTAGATTTTATTTTTACTATGCCTTACCAAGTATGCCCTTAAATAAAGTAGTCCTTACCTACATGGAATTGCACTTAACCAAAACTATTGTGTAAAAAGATTTTAATTCCTCAGGGTTTTAATTTAGGCTAGTTTTTTTAGATTACTTATTTTAGGTGACTTAATGGTACTTTAATAACTGTTAAGAGATTTTGGTTATTTGAATGTAAGTTATAAGTTGGCACATTCCTAAGGGTATTTATACTTTAATGATGATAACATGAAAACTGAAATAAAATACAATGCGCTAAATCTTTTATGTATTTTTACTTTAAAAGGCAAGTGCAACAATGTTAGACTGACTTCTGTACATGTTCTTTTACTCTGATAACATTAAATTAGCACTGATTTGTTTTATAATGATTATAATTTACATGCTTATTTTTAAAATAGTATATGTGCATACATATATATCATATTAAAATAAATTCTATCATTTTAAATTGTTTCTCTGTGAGTTTTTTAATAAAAAGGGCCCAGAAAGTAATTCCTAGAAAGTCATTTATGATAACTTCATGAATGCATTAGTAAGAAACATTAAAACTGTTTTGCTTCACTGTTTCCAGAATATTAGTCTCACCTCATTTATAGCAATTAAGAATACTTTAAGCTATAGGAAACTCAACAGGGCCTTAAGGAATAATAATATTTAATACGGGATGGGACATGTGGCTCAGTGGTATAATGTGTGCTCAGCATGCACAAAGCCCTAGGTTTGGTCTCCAGCACATATATATATTTAATTATCTTGCCATTAAGATATAATAAGAACCCTGTCTCTAAATAAAATACAAAATAGGGCGCTGGGGGTGTGGCTCAGTGGTTGACTGCCCCTTAGTTCAATCCCTGGTACCAAAAAAAAAGGTATAACAAGAAGTCTCCTGGTTGGCACAACAGGGCTAGTGCAGGGACTTACCAATGTCATCAAAGACTCAAGCTCTGTTACCACCCATCCTTAGCAGGATGGCTAGTTACCTCCTAAATGCAGTATAGCTGCAGCAGCTCTAGACATCACATTTGTGTTTAGAGAAGGAAAAAAGGGAAGGAATGGAGCCTAACATATCTACCTGCCCTTTTAGGAAAGTGAAAGCTTTCCCAGAAGTCTGGTACTTACATACATTAGAACTGTGTCACGTCCACCCAGATTAAGTAGGAGACTAGGAATGCAAGTATGAAACTTTTCCAACTATAGTAGAAGCAGGAAAGGAAGAAGGGATTGGCAGTGGTTGTTGGGCTAGCCAGTGAATAGTAACATCTCCCACACCATTCAACATCCCTTCCCTCCTTTTTTACTTTTTGTTTATTTCAACCTGTTTATAAAATACATATAATTTTGCTCCAGGTATTGCATTAAGATAACCATGTACTAAATATGTGTGTGAGTACAAAATTATTTACTAAAAAATTAGAGTACTGATAATGTATTTGTAGATTCCCTCAATACTATTCCTAAGAAGGTAGTGTTGATAATCCTGTGCTTTTCTTGTCTGTTCAGTATATATTATGATTCAATCATTCGGTTACATGCAGTCTGTATGGATCAGGTAGAGCAGATCCTGCTTTCAGAGTTGCCTTCTAGACTTTTGGGAAGAATATCATGAGGAACATTCTTTTTCTGGGATTACAAACCCTCCAGACCATGGATACATAGTTTCTAGGAGTGAAAGGAAAGAAGCAAGAGTCCTAAAACCTTTATTTTAACCTCTGTTTCTAGTCAGTTCAAAAAGCCTTGGTCTTCCTTGTTATAGAAGCTATTAAATTCCTTCTTTCCCCTGCAAGGGCAGAGTCTCACCCTCTGGGACAGGAGTCCCCTGTTCTCCTTTGCTAGCAAAACAATAAAACTTTTTTTTTTCCTTTTTATAAAAAAAAAAAAAGTCCTCCTTTCACTCTAGTTTTGAGTTGATCTGCTTTCACTCACAACTCCTGCCCAGTATATTTAGGAATGACATATATGTGTCCAAATTGTACCTAAATGAGAATGCTTAGTTGGGAGCCTTTGGAGGATGGAGTCTCACATATTTTATGCCCCAAAGCATTTACATACTGCTTTGTGCATATAGCTAGCTAATTTAAAGGTTTTAAAATGTGGATGGTGGCATACACCTATAATCCCAGCTACTCAGGTGGTCGAGGCAGAAAGATTACTTGAGCCCAGAAGTTGGAGAGCAACTTGGGCAATATAGCAAGACCCTGTTTCCCCAAAATGAAATGAATGAAAAAATAAAGAACAGTATGGGTTTTAAAGTATGTATGTGTGTGTGTATGTATAAATATATATATATCTCGTTCCTTGATGACTTAAATCATGTTTTTAAATTTTTATTGGCGGTGCTAGGTATTGAACGCAATGCCTCTCACATGCTAAGCAAGTACTCTACCACTGAGCTACGTCCTCAGCCTTTTTTGGTGAGACAAGGTCTTCCTAAATTGCCCAGACTGGTCTTGAACTTGCAACCCTCCTCAGTCTCTGGAGTAGCTGGGATCACAGGAGTGGACTACCATGCCTGGCTTTTAAAACTTCTTAAAATTCTCTAATTTTTTTAGAGAATTCCAATTATACATAGTATTAGGGTTAATTTTAACATAATTTATTTCAATACCCATTTGCCTCCTCCCCTTTCCCTTTCCTCCTTCCTCCATAGTTCTTTCTACTCCCTCTGTTGATCTTCCTTTCCTACCTTTACTTATTTATTTGGCAAGAGGGATTGAACCCAGGGGTGCTTAGCCATTGAGCCACATCCCCAGCCCATTTTATTTTATTTTTTTATTTTGAGACAGTGTCTCACTAAGTTGCTTAGGTCCTCCTTAAGTTGCTGAGGCCAGCTTTGAATTTGTGATCCTCCTGCCTCAGCCTCCCCAGCTGCTGGAATTACAGGCATGCACCACTGCATCTGGAAGATGTTGAGCATTTTTTAATATATTTGTTGGCCACATGTGTTTCCTTTTTTGAGAAGTTTCTATCTAGTTCTTTGGCCTATTTATTAACTGGGTAATTTATTTTTCTTTTTTTGGCATGAAGTCTTTTGAGTTCTTGATATAGTTTGGATGTTAATCCTCTGTCAGAGGAGTGACTGGCAGAGATTTTTTTCCCAATCTGTAGGCTCTCTCTTCACTCTCTCAATCGCTTCATTTCATGGGAAGAAGATTTTTACTTTGGCTTCCCATTTATTGATTCTTGGTTTTATTTCTTGAGTTTCAGGGGTCTTGTTGACAGAGTCAGTGCCTATACCTGTATAGTGAGTGGAGTGTTGACCCTATGTTTTCTTCTAACAGTTACTGGTTTCTGGTCTAATTCCTAAGTCTTTTGGGGGGAGGGGTACTGGGTATTGATCTCAGGGACACTCACCACTGAGCCACTTCCCCAGCCCTATTTTGTATTTTATTTAGAGACAGGGTCTCACTGAGTTGCTTAGGGCCTTGCTTTTGCTGTGACTGGCTTTGAACTCGAGATCTCCTGCTTCAGTCTCCAGAGCCACTGGGATTACAGGCATGCGCCACCACACCTGGTCAGTTCCTAAATCTTTAATCCATTTTGATTTGACCTTCGTGCAGGGTGAAAATAGGGATCTAATTTCATTCTTCCGCATTTGGATATCCAGTTTTCCCAGCACCAAGATAGTCAGCTTTATCACCTTACTATAGAATTTCTAGAAGAATTGTGAAGATTGAATGAGAGAATGGTTTTTAGCAGTAATTATTAAGGTAGAAAACTAGAGTATACTATAATTCTACCCAACTGTCCTAAGTTAGCCATTACCATTATTATGTACTCATTTAGATATGTTTCCACACAAATAAGCTACCCATCCTCATGATTAATATTATTATTAAATGAAATGTTTGTATCCCATCTTTTCCCTATGACTGTAATCTACCTGAGGGAAGAGATTACAATTCATATATCTTTATAAACTTTATATCATATAGTTTCTGGCATGTAGCAGGTGGATAAACTATAACACATTCACATAAAGTAGCCCTTAAAAATACTGATTTATGAGACTATTTCATAATATTTAATTTTAAAAAATCAAATTCATATGCATATGAACCCATTTGTGTAAAAAAAAATACAAGTACACATACATATGGTTGTTTATAACAGGTTATGTTAGTTATAATGGATGAACATTTTTAAATATTGATTTTTTTAACCTAGAGGACAAATTATTTCCCCCCAGCTGTCTCTTCACACAATAACAAGCTCTGAGAAAGAAAGGTTATGTGTTAATTATTTTTGCATCCCAATTAGTATATTGCATAGAACAGTGTATTCAAAATTAGCTGAATAATAGTGGCTAAGTATGTAAATGTAACCTGTGAGCCAGCTATCCTATTTTGAAAACTTTATTGTAAGTATATCCTAGAATATTTTTCTAGTTTTTCTCTCATATTTCCATTGGTTATTTATTTATTTTATTTTGGGGTACCAGGGATTGAACCCAGGGGCATTTGACCACTGAGCCATATCCCCAGCTCTATTTCGTATTTTATTTAGAGACAGAGTCTCACTGAGTTGCTTAGGACCTCACTTTTGCTGAGGCTGGCTTTGAACTTGCCATCCTCCTGCCTCAGCCTCACGAGTCACTAAGATTACAGGCGTGGGCCACCGCTCCTGGCTCCATTGTTTATTGTCATTATCAAATATTTATCCATGTCTTCTCTATACAGAATATCATATTGGATACTAGGGGTCCAAATAGATACAATGTTTTCCCTTTTTTTTTTTTCTTTACTCTCCTACCTCTTTTCTCTTCCTTTCTTTATTCCTCCCCACCCCCAACTTTTTTAATACCTTGAACTTAGTAAATATAAGACACATACTTTATAGGACAATACTTAACTTTCACTATATGTAACATTCACTGTGAAATATACTCTATTTTCTAGCCCATCCTATACAAGTCTTGTCAATTATCTGTCCTATTTTCATTTACCAAATGAAAGTGAAAAAATGCAAAATTTTGTTAATTTTCAAATCTGGGGAATGGTTAAATAGGACCTATTACATTATTCTCTCTACTTTTTTACATAAAAAACATTACTTTAAAAAAAATTACTCTTGGGCTGGGGATGTGGCTCAAGCGGTAGTGCGCTCGTCTGGCATGAGTGCGGCCCGGGTTCGATCCTCAGCACCACATACCAACAAAGATGTTGTGTCTGCCGAAAACTAAAAAATAAATATTAAAAAAAATTAAAAAAAAAAATTACTCTAGGGCTGGGGCTATAGCTCAGTGGCAGGGTGCTTCCCTAGCATGTGTGAAGCACTGGGTTCTATCCTTAGTGCCATCTAAAAATGAAACAAATAAAGGCATACTGTCCATCCATAACTACAAAAAATTACTCTAAAATTTATTGATTGATTGATTTTGGTACTGAGGAATGAACTCTACCACTGAGCTCCATCCCCAACTCTATTTTTTGTTTTGAGACAGGGTCTTGC